AATAATCTCTTTGATGTATATTTGAACATAGAATCAATTAAAGCATCCTGTGGCGTTCTGTGTGGGACAAATAAAGACGTAAACACCACACATTAGGCCTGTCCCGATCTGATATTTGCAAAAAACTGCGTATCGGCCGGTAGGAGAAAACACAGATCCAGACTCCAGATCCAGTTTTATTTTTAAGTCTGATCCCACATTAGCATTAGCATTAGCATCTGCTAACCCACATGTCTGTGTCTTAACCATTAAGTTGTTATAAGAGTAAATCCCTGTTCAACATGAGTCTGACAACTAAGTAAGTAGAAACATAACTTTAAACTTTAACACGTGCTCTGATAGGCCGGGATCGGTATTCAATTCAAATCAGTTCAATTCAAGTTTATTTCTATAGCTCCACATCACAAAGTGGAGACAAACAGTTGTCTCCCAGATTTCCAAACAGAGCCGGTCAGACAATTCCCCGGTATCGGATCGGATCGGGACAATCCCGGTCCAAACAGCCTCCATCCGTCCGTCCGGGTTCCCGGCTGAAAGAAAACAATCGCATACTGACTGTAAAACCATTAAGGAGCTCAAAGCTAGTTGAGACAACCTACGAGCGATTCCACACAGAGATGGAAAAAGCTACCGTGTAAAAATGGTCAGCCTGTGTCAAAGCTTTTTAACAAATAAAATGTTTAAAATCACCAAATGTGATGTACTTTTGACGCTATTTTAGCAGAACGGGTGTGTTCCAGGGATTCCTCTTTGGTGATGTAAACAGGAGAAAACAGCCCCCCCCCCCCCCCCCCCCCCCCCCTTTCCTCCCCCCCCCCCACAAATTCCCCCCAAGTGTCTCCTCTTCCCCCCCCCCTCCCTTTCCCTTTTTTTTTTCTGTCCCGGGGGGGGGGGGGGGGGGGGGGGTCCCGCCCCCCCACCAGCTTTGTTTGTTGCCGTCCTCTCGGCTTAGCCGCGTAGCAACTGAGCGTTTTCTGGAGTCTGGGCCTCATTGTTCTAGCGAGGGAAAACGGGTTATAAAGAGGCTTCTGTAATTGCTTTCTGGAGGGGTGTGTGTGTGTGTCTGTGTGTGGGGGGGGGGCTGTACAATAACAAATGCAAATATCCATAAAATGAAAGTGTTACGTGCTTTCTGAAGTTTCCTCCCAGTTCCACATCCACATTGTTAGGCTTTTTCTTTCAGTTTAAAGCTGAATTAGATTTGACATCTTTCCTTTTCCTTTCTTTTGGTCGGGTTCCGCCCTTCTTTTTTTTAAGGCAGAAATCGGTTCTTATCCACTCGGAGCAGGGTTTTCCACGTTATTAACTTAAATAAATGGGAAATCGGCCATTGCTGTTTGTGGGCTGTGGTTATCTTCAGGTGAATGTTTGATCGGATTCGCTGTTCAAAGTTTCACAGCTGCTGTTTTTGAAGGAATCACAAAGTTCAAATTCCCCATCAAACCTGGTTTAGAGCAGTTATCGGATAACGAGGGGTGGGGGGGGCAACGGTAGCTCCTTACTGGTCAGCAGAGAGGGCGTCCTGCCTGCAAACAACCATAACCCAAGGCTTATTCATCCAGCTCCTCAGAGGTCAAGTCCACCAGGGTCCAAGTCCCAAACTGGTCAAATTCAGCAACAAAAAGGTCAAATTAAGCTCCAAACTGGTCAAAGTGATTCCAAATTGGTCAAATTCAGCCCAAAACTGGTCAAATTGATTCCAAACTGGTCAAATTCAGCCCCAAACTGGTCAAATTGATTCCAAACTGGTCAAATTCAGCCCCAGACTGGTCAAATTCAGCCCCAGACTGGTCAAATTTAGCTCCAAACTGGTCAAATTCAGCTCCAGACTGGTCTAATTCAGTCCCGATAAATCTCAATCAGAACCAGAACTGTGAGGGGACAGTTTGCTGAGATATTCAGTCAAACTCTAATCAGTGTCCCTTCCTTCGGATGTAGAAAACCAAACCGGTTCTTACCCGTTTCCTTTCAGAACCAACTTTAAACGGCCTCTGGTACCAGAACTGGAGCTGATGGGGTCTAGTCCAGATGCCTTTGCTCACTCTGGGTTTACAAGCCAATCTGACCTTAAGTAACATTTTTGGGAAAAAACGGCGAACATTAAGCGTTTATTAGACTTTTTCTGTCCTGATTAAGCTTTGGTGAGTGTCACCGGTTCAGTAAAATAAGCATCTGAATGGGGGGTGTTTTCAGGAGGGAGGATCTGGGATGTGAAACCCCATCCGGGTCACAGTAGTTTAACCCCCAATTGGAGTTTTTAAATACAATTTGGATCACTTTTTCCACCTGGAAACGCCTTAAATTTGACTATTTTTGAACGTGGGACCAGAAGGATTTGACAGCTACC